TTTACTTCACAGGAAATCGGTTGACGACTACGTCGTCTAATTGCTACGGTATGTGATGCAATGATTGGTTGACAGTGTAAAACTTTACCGTTTTTGAACACATCATTTTGATGCTCAATTGGTGAAAACCCGTTTCTACCGAATTTCGTTCCCAAAGCAGTATAGGACATTTTCCAACTGATAAATCATATAAGTCAGTTGATCTCGTAGAACGATCACTTGACCATAGTGTGAACTCACCACGTTAGAAGAGGCCATCCAAATTACTAGGCCGTTTTCAAAAGGATTCAAGAATACCATCTCTACTGGCTGGGCCACAGAGAAACAAGGGAAACCAAAGTTTGCATCAGGCACTGTCCATTGTTTATCACACGTCTTCATCACTATAAATAAGGACTCCAGTGTGTCATTCTATGCAGATCGAACATTGGAATGCCTCATTCGAGCTGGAGCTTTAACAAGAACATGGATAAAGAAATCCAGCAATGCAACCGCAAGGGATGGTGCGTGTGTCCCTACGTGTAGCACACCCGTTGTGCATAGCTCAATTCAATCCAAAACATATCGAACACCATGAAAACCCCTATAAGGTTTTATTGGTGAGTTGATTAATAACCGGCAAACAGCTTGTTTTACCTACCGGACTTCGCTTTTCCTGTATCAAGGCTACAATAGCCTGGTATATTTCTGTTACTTATCCAACAAACAACAAACAACAAAACAAAAACAACAAAACAAACAAACAAAATAGGAACAAAATAGGAATTGAAAAAAACCAAGGCATACTTGAAAGCATCTGGTAAAGAACGGAATGCACCATTTCGTGGCTGAAAACCAAATGCCCTCCACTTTCCGTTTGTCTCAGCACGGCTCCACCTGTACCCGATGTGAATGCACCAACTCGATGAAGCAATCGTAACACAATATAGGGAAGCAACGGTGAGCGACAGGCCAGTTCAGTGGTTTTCAGAAATTGCTGCATCACCGAACTGTCTGGAACCAACATGCTCTGAATCATTTGCAACAGATCGTCAATCCCGAATCCGTGTGATACACCGTCTACGGAATACCAGGTAAGTTGGTTTGCCGTGAGACAGCAGTGAAATACGAGCGCCACAAATCCAAGAGTCCAATCTGAAACAGAAATACATAGTTCTCATCTGTGTTAGAAGTTATTGTGCGTTTATAGCAAGAAAAATGTTCTTTTCAGTCTGGGTTGCTCAGAGAGGACAGAAAACAGAAAGCAAACTGTTTACCATCGAATGTGGTAACATCTGATGAGCAAAGTTGTGGAATACACAAAAAATAAATTTGCTCAATTTTTTTTGTTTTATTTTCATATTGTAATCACGTGAAAGTAAGCTATCAGTTTTATTTAGTCCAATGTTCTATTGTATGCATGCCACCACATACAATTCGCTTATAAAGATACACTTCTCTTATTCTGTCTTTCTTTCAAAGTTAACCCTTTCATTAGGTACGATTCAGCAACAGATCGAGTGTTTTGTAAGATCTATTGTTTTAGGGATCTTCATTCTTTGTCACGCCTAGTCAACTCTCGTGCACGTTCTCATCGAGTTCACTTGAGTGATGCGGGTGGTGTGTTTGTGGTGCATATAGGTGCCTGCGTATGTCCATAAGAGAGCACCTTTAAATTTATTTGACTTTGAAACGAATTGACGGTTCGTGTTTGATTTCGGGATTACCCCATGAGGCGTGTATTGTGCTCAGCATAAACGATAACTAATAGCATCATGCTGAGTGATGTGTGAATGGGTCAGTGCCCTTCGACAATCGTTATGGTGAATATTTGTACGAACTTACCAATATTGTTGTATTCACTTTTGACCGAGGTTTTAGTTAAGCTATAAACACGCTGGATAACTTAAACTGCTCTAGGTGACCTTTAAAAACAAATTAGACGTAGGAAATACTTCTCTTTTCAGTTATCTTCTCAGAGATAGTACCTGCAAGATGAGAATTCGGGTTGATAGACCATGAATGGAGCAAACGTATTCTAGGGAAAATCCAGAGTACGCGGGAGGTTTAAATCCTACAGATCGTCGTTATCGGCGGAGTCTAACATTCAGAAGATGAAACGGAATGAATGAATAAAGTTACCAGAACGACTGTGACAAACGGCAGTTTATAAAAGATATAGTAGAATGTCGCAATCTTGTTACCAAATCAAGCAATCGGCTTCCTTATTCACCAAACTATTATGGTAACAACCCAACGGAAGTGAATATCACTCTTGGCGCTGGAGAATTTGCCACCAGCGTTTTGCATTCATGGAATGAATTTAAAAAAGAGGGTCACCAGAACTTCCCCTGAGATCATTGCTGAATCCTAGACCCAAAAACAAACCACAGTCTGTAGATACGATCAACACAGCTCAGTCGTTTGATCAGGCTACCAGAGCTTCCGCCCAAAAAACTGGATGTTAGCCCGACATTATAAGAACCGGAAAATATACCGCTTCTTACCCAAAGAGATTTCTTCATCGGTAATACCAGATCTATTGATAGAACAATGCGAAAGGATTACCCAGGAAAGTTTCCACACTCAAATTTTGTTTTCAATACGGTCAGTGGAATACTATCACTATTACAGGAAAGTATATATATATATATAACACCGGCTTGTAGACAGTTACAGTGCCAAGGTCACAATAATTGGGTTACAGAGAAAAGTGGAAAGATGGAGAAACAGTTGAACACCGGAAAATGGAAGATAAATGGGATAACAGAATTTTTGTGTTTTAACGTACACTCATTGATATTTTTTGTGTTTTCTAAGGGGTATAGGATTTCGACAGGTAGACCGTACAGCATTCGCGCCACTGACTTCTATTCTCGCCCATATATCTCAGCGTCTCTAACCAACGACAATCCTCATCCCTTGGACCCAACCTGGAAGGCGGGCTGCTCCAACGGAAGCCGAAACTGAAGCCAGTTTCTTCATACCTCTACGCCATGTCATGGTCTAACCGCTGTGGAGCTTCAGCCTTGCCCGGCACGTGTAAAGAGAGCACGAAAAGGTAGCCGATGGACAGGCATAACCAAAGTGTGACCAAGCCATCGGAGGCGGTGTAGAGCGATTACTTCTGTTAGAGAACGACTATCCACACCCAACACACGACGACGAACCTCGTCATTTACTCACCAAATTTTCCCACCAGACACGAGCAATGCTTCGGAGACATCGATGGTGGAATACAGAAAGTCGATTATCATCCTCAAAGATGAAGGGCTAGATCTCGCAACCGTGAAGGAGACCCTTGTGAACCGCGGTGATCTACACCGTTTCCTTAAGGGACAGTCGGATGTCATGGCGGCCCCATAAGTCGCAGATTGGCGAAAGCTGCTCTAGCTTTCGCTATTCGTGATTTGATCTTCTACCCAACACCCCATCAGCTGCGATCATGCTCTCAAAGTACTTGAAGCTCTCAACTACTTCTAGTTCATCACCACAGATGGTAAGTGTAGGCACAGGCTCCTGCCAGTCTTCAAGAAGCACTTTGCACTTTGATGGTCTAAAGCACATACCATACTTGGTTATCTCGTTCGCCAAGCGATTCAAAGCGTTTTAGACTACCTGTGCATTGTCGCCAAGCAAGGCGATGTCATCAGCATATTCTAATTCAAGGACTCTCTTCCCTGGGAGGAGTTCGACTCCGCCGTTTGCCAGACTGGCCAAAGCATTCCGTAGAAAGTCCTCTGTGACAAAGTTGAAAAGGAATGGGAACATAGGGCAACCTTGCTGAACTCCAATGGAGACGGCTAAGGGTAGCGAAAGCTGGCCATAGGCCCTAACCCGATCTGAGGTATGACGATACAACTCTCTGAGGATCGACACATACTTATCAGATACTCAATTCCTCAGCACACAGTTCCATAGTGCGTTCCTATCGACAGAGTTGAAGGCCGCGCGGATGTCTAAGAATACAATGATCGTTGGTCTCTGGTAGGCATGACGGTGCTCTAACAGTTCTCGGAGGGTTACGATTTGATCAATGCATCCAAGACTGGCACGAAACCCATCATACTCCTCGCGGGTCTGATCGTTACGCATAATGTACCGTCGGTGGATAATGACAGACGCCAACAGCTTCGAAGCTATCGTGATCAAGCTTATACCCCTATGATTGGCGCAGTCATTGTGCGGACCCTTTTTGAAGACTACCTAACGAGTGTTCCAAACTTCATAAAACAGAAATTCTCTAGCAAGCGCTATTCCACCATCTTTAAATAGATCTGGGGAAAGGCCATCGGAGCCCGGCGCTTTGTGACGTCCCAAGGCTTGAATCTCCTTACGGGTTTCCACCACAGAAGGTGGGTCTGTTGAGACAGACCATGGGGCGTTTGTCGGAATAGCTATGAGAAACTGACGCTGGTGGCCATCTAAATTGTGCTTTGAAGTGCTCCGCCCAGCGTACAAGGCGTCGCTGTGGATTATAAATGGGTAAACCGTCAGCTTCACAGATCATTTTGCTCACACCCAAGGCTTTCCTATCGGTGACCCCAATGAGATGGAACAGCTTAGGGGAATTCACCATGGCTGCATCATGTTCCATCTCTGATGCGCGTTGAGACCACCAGATCTCGTGGTCTCTGCGTAGACTTGCATTAAGTTCATGTCTCGTCACGAGTCGTGTTTCGTTATGCTCACTGCCGGTCTGAGTTGACCAACGTGCGTCAAGTAGGCGTAGAGACTCCGCAGAGATCCAGNGTGTCACAGCTCGACGTGTCAAACCACAACTAACTAAACCAGCAGAATGCAGAGCATTCTTGATAAGCGACCAGTGTTGATTAACATCATCGGGTGGGGTTGGTTCTAGCTTTCCAGCGAGCACGTTTTGAAATACAGTTAGAAAGGCTGATTTGGACAGTTTATTACAGTCTAATCGTCGTTGTGTCGTGCGTTTGGAACGCCCTTCGAAGCACATGGACAGCCTGGCGCATACCAATGTATGGTCGGATTTGAGGGGAGTGCTCCAGTACGATCGACAGTCTTGAATGCAGCCCCGCCATTCGTGGCTTATCGTGATGTGGTCGATTTGCATCCGTCGCTGACTCGAGAAGGACGAATGCCAGGTGGCGTACCGGCAGTTGGAGCGTCTGAAGTTTGTACTGGCGAGGAATAGGCGGTGGTTGAAGCATAGAGTCAATAGCTGTTCCTCGTTTTCCGAGCAACAGGAATCTAGTCCGAAAGGTGCGCCTCACTCGAGGACAACCGACCTACTCTAGCATTCATATCTTCTGCTAAAATCACGATATCAGCTCGGATCGCTTTACGTGCGAGGCCGTGTAGACTGTGATAAAATTCATCTTTGACTGCATCTGAGCTGCAGTTCGTTGGAGCGTACGCCTAAATGACAAACAAGTTTGGTCTATAGTAGCGACGGCTGCTCGTCTTGCACGAACCTAAGTCTCATTGCGCATAACCTACTGTCGACTGGGAACCGGTCTAGGAGCGCGGCTTTAGCTCTCTCTCACTGAGAGCCACGCCGACGCCAGCAAGACCGGAAGCCGCAGCTTGGGGTCCCCAGAGAGGTGTAATTGAAACTTCACAAATTGGTTTGATAGGGACGTCAATCGAGCTGGAGTCTGAAATGCGAGTTTCTTGGATGCAACACACATCGATGTCTAGGGTTTTGAGCGTACGAGCTAAACACGCCTGTTGTTCTATACGCATCAGAGTATGCACATTAAACGTGGGTATTTTGAAAGCACATCGAGGGCGAGGAAGGGCTTCAGATGGTGGAAGAGTTGATGAAACTTGGATGCTAGCCGAGGTGGGACGATAGCAAACAGCGGCAGAATTTCCGCCTGAGGCACTATTGATGGTACGATCGTCTGAAGCGCCCGAGAAAGATGAAAGAGTGTTGGAGGGGGTGGAGGTGACCTGTGGAGAAACTGGGAGTACAAGAGGATGTGTAAGATGTAGAATGCTTTTTGCAGGATGAAAAATCATCAGAGTGCATAATCATAAGAGCAAGATGGTTTATGGTTTTATGCGTTGCGGGCTATTTTACTACTCAGTCGCTCGGTCCAGAGTAGGTCTTGTTCGAGGATGCACTCTAGCCTTTGCGCAACCAAGCTCGGACAGCAAGGCAGCAGTAATGTTCCAGATGAGCCAGCTGATCAGTCTTTGGTTCATTTGTCTCTTCTGAAAAACCTTGTTGAGCAATGAATCTCGACAAGGAGCAATGGCCATATTTAATGGTGGACCACACATACCACGTCACAGCGCTGTTCACAGATATTTGTGGTGTTTTGTGCGGAGAACCCTTACCAGGGGTACACCCACCACATCCTCGAGCGGTACCACTGACCATCCGCGACCGCTTATTCGGCAGGCCGAAGCCCGCCTTATTCATGTTTAGCTGCGAGATGGCGGCTGTTCCCCTATCCGCGACGTGGGGTTGAGCTCGGTAGCATACAGCTCTGCTCTCCTGATCACCACCAGTTGACCCCCAGTTGACATTATTGATTCTGCATTATCTTTACCGGGTATATCTCCACCATGATGCGATCGTCGGTGGTCTCCTAATTGACTTTCAAGGACCACTTTTATACTAGGCAATCCATCTTCTTGTTTCGGCAACGGACACAGCCAGTATAACTGCTGAAACACGATAAATGTTTCCTTGGTTTAGTCTATAGTTCTTCATCATCCCCGGAGTCGATGAAACTCTTTCACCTATGTTCGCCTAATGTGTGCATCAGATTGCTCCCAACTGAATAAACCAATGACCATCCGTATAATATTCGAAAATCATTTCAAACAGCCAGTTGAATCGCATCCATTATGCAACCACTTGAGGGAAGTCACCAAGTTTGGAAACATGCAGTCATCATCAATTCTGGAATTATTTTTAACACACGAGGGGCTTAAGTTATAATCCATCACTCTCTCTCCCCTAGGACGCAGTGATCAAGCAGTAATTCTATTCAAATACGGATATACAAATACTTCTAATAAAAGATATTTTCCAAATCCCACTCGTAAGTTCTTAGACTACACAAAGTTGCAAAACTTGGAGCATTTTTTTCGCGGAATTTCCCAAGGCAAATAAACTTATCCACTGGTTACCTAAAAGAAACTTACCGACAGTCTCAAAAAAAGACTAGCATTAGTGTCCGAGACTAGACTTGTCATCAAACCTAGCATCCGAAAGCCACCTGTTTGAAGTCACACGAGGAAATGGATGCCTCTGAGGGGTCTATCTTGGCCACAGTACAAACGCCTTCCGGAATTCGCCACTTGAAATAATTATCAAATGCTGAAAAACCATTGTACCCAGCTAATCCGTGAGGACAAGCTGATGTACCAGGAGTAGCTAGTACATAGGTTCAGCTTTAACCCCAAGCTGTTGTATTTACGCTGTAACTCAGTTTGAACGGTTAAATTTTGAATACCGGTACTAAACTGCACTGGGAAAGTTTTAGCCACCACAATGGAAGTAACTGAAATGCTACATCTGCAGTATAACAAGTTTTTGTTGCAAGAAAATTTCGAAGGTCTGCAGCTTTCGCGCTAGTTAGATCATCTATAATGTCCTTCGACAACCACCAAAAAATTGGTCACTCAAGACGTCAAATGAAAACAATCGGCTTTGCGAAAAAAATGCATCCCCAGATGCGGGCAATATACATCTATGAATCTTAGTCTGTTTTTGGAGTCATTTAGGGTCTTCTCATCCACCGTACTTTTTCCACCGTTGGTTGGTCTGTTCTTTAGATTTTCTCATTTTTGGATCAATTCTCAACGTTTCAAGGCTCGGAGATTGAAACATTATATAGACGGATGAGTTCATGTTGTAAACCCGATTTAGTTTTCATGTGTTAGGTACTGGTTCCTTGCTTTCCACCTTTGCCCTCAAATCCGTAGATGTGGGGCTACCACAACTGGTGGTGATGTTGTGGTGATGCTTTTGGAGCTANTCCGTAGCGTTCGTACCCACCTGGTAATTGTGCGCATTCTGTTGCCTTTCATTCAGTGCGCGTCATCACCGTTTGTTTAGTTTATGTTTTTGAACATCCAATCATTGTTCCAAATGGCCATTTCGTGCCGAAACTTATCATAGGACACTATTGTAGCATCGAAGGGCATTCAGGTACTTCATACGTTCTGGCATCCCCTAGGAGGAAATATTGGATAGTGAAGGGTAACTCTGCTGTAAGACGTGTAATCAGAAGATGCGTGGTATGTCGACGTCTCGTGGCTACAATCGGATGACAACTGATTGCTCCCCTACCGCCTGCAGGGTCCAAACGGGGGGTGGTGCAGCTTTTCTCACTTGGGGATAGATTGTTTTGGGCTTTTCTGCGTACGCAGAGGTAGGGATATGGACAAAAGATATGGATATCTGTTCACTTGCACACACACACGTGCAGTCCACCTTGGGGTAGCAGCTACTCTTGGAACGGACTCATTCATAATGGCCCTTGTGAGATTTGTGGGACACCAAGGAACACCATAAGTGATATATATATCGACAATGGAGTTAACTTCGTGGGTGAGGTTTCTGAAATAAGAGAACGACTGAAACAATGGGAGGATGGGAAGATAAGTGATCGCCTGTTGCGCCACGGGATCCATTGTGGTGTTCACGAATCCGTTCGGACAACTGCCTGCCCGTGCGGCTTATGTACGTTGTTTCACAGGAACAAGTAAATGAGTATACACAGAATTAGACCAGAGTCCGGAACTTTCTCCTTCAGTCGAAAACACACTTGGCTTGGACCTGAACAACCCACAAAGCTTGGATGCATAGAAAGTCTTACCGAGGTTAAGAAAAAACTCCGTGCACATTTCTTTGCCATTCAAAGGGGACACATCAGCTGAGATCAGATAGAAAAGTGTTGAAGTACAAGCCCATTGTGTGTTTACGACTGAAGGACAAAGATCCAGACTCTGTGGTCTAATACCGTGTATACTCATTTAATTAGTCCTGTGGAACAACGTACATAGGCCGCATGGTCAGGTGATTGTCCGAACGGATTCGTGAACACCCCTGCATGGCTAAACACCGGAAGGATTAAGTCACTCATCAGTGTAGTGATGACGTGGACGTGTCCGAGTCTTTCCGCACCCTGTATAAAGTTCAAGGGCGATTATCGGGTCAGGTTCGTTGTCGGATGTTGGCCACAACAGAAGCGGAGGGGATTCATCTGCACATATCCCTTCTGTGTACCCCCAAAAAAATTGGTGCAAGCGCTAAAGTTTCCCTGGCCCACCCCACACATACATTGTATCACAAGTAATCTCGATGATGGGATGAGTGAACAGAAAATATCTGATCATGGTGAATCCAATTTCCCGGTCTCATGATGAAATCGTCTCTAGTAATCTGTGATTTTATTTTATTTTTCTAAAACAATTTTATTCCCAAGTAGTGATGTATACATATTTTGTGATGTATTGGTATGAATACAAAATACTATTAATGAAATCAATTATAATTCAATAGGTGGACTAAATGTTCGGCCTTTTTTTGAAATTGATTCTGCAGTATATATATACTACATATTGGCCTACGCTGCATTGATAATTGACTTCTGCTTTTAGACCATTATTTACTTCTTGGTCTGGTTTTGTGCATAAAAACCGCGTTTATTATTGTTTGGCATCTGCTTAAATCAACACCTCATTTTTGACTGTAAATAATGTGGAGCATTGATTTATTCTGCTACAAATGACATTAACTGCTTATGTAAAAGCGTTTTCCACCAAGGTAATGTGGCGTGTCGCAACTCTTGTCTATTCAAATCCAGATTTCTCCTTCGCGGTGTCAAAACACCTATCTGGCCTGCAATCAACCCACGTCTGAACCCCAGAGAAGCGATCTGTGCTGTGCTTACACGTTTCATTTTCTTCGTTTTTAACTTCCGTTTATTGAATACTCAATGATACAATTTTCGTAAAGGTGAATGCGACCAGTCTAAGGGCTGCCATAAAATACACAATGGAGCAAGTCAGGCGTGGTGGTAGGATTCGAACACACATCATCCGGGGTGATAATTTGATAATGTGATCACCGAGTCACCACTGCAATGAATAGTTAAAATACCAAAAAGGTAAGAGATTTCTTTCTGAAAACAGTTATCTTACGTATCAATTAGATAAACAATTAAACGCATTTCAATCACGAAGTTATTTGTCCTGCAACGTCAACGAGTCACATATGCCCCTGAAAAGACCTGAAAGTACTGTGCCGCTATGTCATCGAGTGATCCAATAATAACCTGTAGGTTTCGTACGACTATGGGGTTGGGCTCGAACATTGATTAGCCCAGCCTATATGCTGGGCACAAGGTCTTTATAAATTTCCAGCGCTCTTATGTCTTCCTTGGTATGCGTTATTTGCCAAAATTGCGTGATGAATAACTTTCTAATCATGATAGACATTGTTTGTTTTATAGTGTACTTCCTTGATTGTTTTAACCTTTTCCTGAAACGGTGTCAGGCATCCGTTGGGTAAGAAATTAATTCTTGAACATCGACTACAGTTCACCGTAAGTTTAATTTCCATTAAATCCATAAATGTCGGGAACTCCGGACTTCGGAAGGCGGTTTTTTTTATTGAACACCTGATTGTGAGGAACACCAGGCGGATTGAACCCCTTAGTCACGAGGACCTGCATGTCAGAGATGGAAATTGGCAACTTGAACCTCAGTACTTGGAGTGGCGAGCCACATAAGGCTCCGTTAGGTTAGGCTTGGTATTGAACAGGATGACAGCAAAGCTATCTACCACCAAAGTCGGGTGGCGGTGGTGGGGATCGAACCTCGAACCATAAGGTTCCAAGTACACCGGTGACAGTGACTAAAGTACTGCGCCACCAAAAAACAATAGGAAATTTTCTGAGATAAATCACCGTTAGATTGTACTCAACCGCGAGTCCTAAGTTAAAGATGAACAAGCTGTTTTCAAGCCCAATATTTCTACGCATTCTCCCTCAGCATTACCTTTTGTGAAGTTCTTGATGACCATTTTACGAGCCAATCTTTTCTTCTTATCAGTTTTTGATGTACTGTTGTCCTTTGTTCCTTCACTCAGCGTCCACAAGGATTGACTGGAAAACATCGCTCCTTGGGCCTCGGGAGGAACTTTCTCGGTTGTGTATTGCTCCAGTTCCAACAAATCCGTTTCCACGTCCCTGGCCCATCGTCGAATCAAGCAGAGAATTAGCTGCCGGAGCGATTGAGTCGCTAACAAACGGTCACGGAAATCATTCCAGGACGCAATGTCACGTGGTATCTTGGCTGAGCTAAATCCGAACGAAGTGCTGTGGAATTCCTGTGCAAGCATTTTCTGAAATCGGAAAGTGCGAATTAGACGACAGGAAAGTCCCAACGGTGTTTTTGATAGGCTTAGTTCGCCACACTCCACTCTAGATGCCGTTGGATAATATCCCCGAGAAGCAGCCAATACTCGATTTTTCCTATCAACTACTCAAAAAATAATCATGCAATAGCATTGCTCAAAAGTTACGACTTGATTGCTCACTCTTACATTCACAATACACAATCAACAGTATAAAACCTCTTGCAGTGCATACGCAAACTATATTGATTATTAATTTTAGGCAACTTCCTGTTGCATGAGAATCCATCGACCTCATAAATGAATCCACAATGAATCTTCTATGTAGGACCTAAAGGAATATAACTCAGAAAGACAGATTTTTTCGCTCCGAAGGTGAAGCTGCACAGCGAATTGCACTATGTGGAGCAACATGGTCCCATATACTGTTAAACCACATCACCCTGCCCTTTGTGTACCGGGCGATTGAGCTTCAACACTCTATTTCTATCACGTACACAGGTTCTTGCATCCGACATGTTGCAAGAAAAAGTGATTGCCCGTTATCTGCGCATTGTTGCATGGTCTATGGGAACACCACACCACACACTGACTGGATCCGGTGAATGAATGAATGATTGAATGTACCTTGCAGTCAGTCGAAGTTATAATCCCAGGATGTGAAAAATTCAGATGTAAGGGCACCCAAATCCATTTGCCTGAGCGATTGGCATCAATATCAAGTGTTGATGTGTATCTGATTGCATTTCCTATAAATGAATTTGAACCAGTTGACCGCTCAGTCTGGTGAGCCAATTGAGATCAAGATGTGTCCATCTACTGAAACTCGTTGAGCTCCATCGCAGCTGTATCAAAGTGGACTCAGATGACTGAGCTAAAATCTCCTTATAATCAAATAAATAAACGGAATGGGAAGAAAGCTGCAAATATTTTTAACCGGACAATGTGAACAGTAAATCATCAGCTTCAGCATTCATAGCCCCCTAGGCTGGCAAACTTACTCGGGCTAAAGGCACGTGCCTCAGTGGCCATTGCTCGTACGCTCGTACGGCTGCGTAATCTGCTATACGATCACGAACGGCTTGAGCGCATTTCTGTGCATCGGACAGTTGTTCCTTTCTGTCTGTATCGGTGTCCATGATTGTCATCAGTTGATCGCTATTACTCAGTACGGCCCAGTCCACCAGATTGGGCATCAAACTGACCAAATCTGATGGTTGCTGTCGGTGCACTTTAACCGGGATGCTATTCTGGGCGCTTCCGGTGGGACGAGTTAAAGATGAGACGCGAAATCGCGTTGGAATGGTTTGAACGGGTGTGGCAGGTTTGGGAAAGTGGGCTACTTGAACGAGCGGACAGCGTGACAAACGTTGATAGACAGAATGTGCCTTTGAACAAGTAAAAATTAAGCGTACTCCTGAAGGTACCATGGGCATTTTATTGGTATGTGTGTGAAATTCGGTTTCCGAGTCACCGTCCCAAGAATGACTGAATAACCACTCTATATTTTTCACCTATAAGAAAGCAGACAGTGAAAAAATCGGAATGATATATTTGTAATTTTTAATTAGCATTTATGTTTATTTAGGAATAGAAAAAATATATTCTTTATTGCAAAATGTCTAGTGTTGCATACTTCTAGGACATAAACGAACGTTTATTGTGATAAATAGTCTGTGGAAATAGGAACGGTTTTCTGTCAAGACGCAGCTGAAATTATTTTGAGATGACCAACGAAGAGCCTTTGGTGCGTACGTTTTACGTCCCTACCTGGAATCGAACCGGTAACCTTCAGGTTTGTAATTAAAAACCTTGTTACTGAACGAAATGGTCAGCACTCCACATTCGGGTCTCGAACGAAATCCCAATCAGTGAATCCCCACAACCAGACCGTATACAGTACGTGGCGCATAGGAAAATCAGAGGAATTTATCCAAACACAAAGCTCTAATGCATATCATAGGTTATTCTGACCGCAAACACCCCATCATCACAGTGACTACCGGTCTGTGCCGCTGTCAGAAATGTACATCTCTCCTACCTGTCTTTTAAACGATATATTGCAGTTTTTGAATTCTTTCCCCTGACTATATTCAACCATTTGAATGATTCTCCGTATGATTTGTGTTGATTTCAAACGCCTTGATACTCAAACTTCAATCAAAAATATCACAACTTCAACCAATAATATGAATACTAAGGCTAGATTGTTTCTTTCAAGTAACTTTAGCTTGTTTTCAGCTACCTGACGCTCTACTATCAAACTCCTCTGATCAAGTTATTATTATTATTATTATTATTATTATTATTATTATTATTACGGTATAACCTGCGATTTCCAGTTTTCCTAATCACAAAATTTTAATCTCTAGTTGAAATCATAAGCTACGAAGGCAATTACTACACCCCTTCCCATCTCCTTCCTTTAATTGATTGGTTATCATGTTTCGATCTTGGAGTTCCATGAGAAATACTTTATGAGACGGTTTTTCTTCCACTCTAACGAAACATTTATGCTGAGAAGAGGAATGTGTAAATAAATCAATGGACTATCAACTATTAACGACACTGACTAAGTCTATTAGAAGTGAGATTCGCTGTCTAACTTTTGTACATGTTCAACGTAATCTGAAACAAAAGCTATCGAAAATCTGTTCCGCGATTTCTACGCCAATGAGTGCTCTCTCTCTCTGTGTGTGAATGATCAAGTGGTTAAGGTAATCAATGTATCTCCAAAGAGGACGTGTGTTCAAGTCCAAACACCGTCACCCAACTTTCCCATTTTCTATGCATTGCAGCACTTTGATTTACCGTATCTTCCTTGCTGAAATTTGTTTGTATCAATATATATATATATATCGATTGAAAGGACGTATGAAGAAAAGTTGCAACTTGATCAGAATAACAAATAACAAGTTCGCTCATAGCCTTGAGTTACCCTGTGTCTAACGCTGCTCTCTCTCTGATTTATTCCATGAAATGTGTCAAGAACTCCAGTTCTCTTAAGAATGGCGAGCTTCAGGGATAACAACCGCTTGTTTTGAATGAATGTGCCGGGGCCTCGTAATCCGTTTCCTCTAATACTTTCAGTTTGTTTCTTTTCCAGCATTCGTTTCAAGTCAACAACCCGATTAGTGAGGAAGGATCGGCATTATACCAGTTCCCAACAAAGGCCCCACGATATTATTCCCATACTCCGTACTTCATTCTCGCTGAAGGTAGCTAAACAAGACTTTTACGCAGACCGGTTACCCGGTGGCAAATGATTAACTGTAATCAATTTGCCTACTGCCTTCCCCAAGCGGTCGATAATTCCCAAATGCTGCGACTTTTTTCATGCATGGTATTCTGTCATCCATTTGATTATGATTGCGACCTTGGGACTCGAATAACGCATTTCTAAGTTTCGAGAGAAAATGAGATTTTCATTCTTATATGTCGGTGTCCCTGTCCTCTTAGTTTTGGTCAAGTCTGCTTATATTCAACTTCCGAAATAAGCATCTTTTGAGATTCCATCTTATTCCCTTTCTTCTTTTGTGCTTTCTTATTTTATTTACCTATTTTTAAGGTCCTGCTGATCATGTGTATGATGACGTAATTTTTGGTTTATCCTTATCCAGTAACTCTGCTCACTCTATATCCAACTACGTATACAACAGCTCGCCAATTGATATACATCGTTAACCTCTCTGTGAGCAACCTGTTGATAGTTATCTTCTTTCTGTTTATTTATTTTTTGTTACAGGTAATATGAAGTACAGTAAAAGGGGTAATTCCCGTAGACAAACAGCATATTACAAATGGTAGAGTAGATAACATGCACGTAAGATCCGGATTATTGATTCTGCGTTTAAAGAGTGCAAAGTTAAGTTCAGTGAAAGATATAAAGCGAGAAGGTGTTCTACAAAGAGGCCATTCGGGGAAAAAAGATAGGAGCAGAGAAGTACGATGTCACGGAAGTGAAATCTGATAAGGATGACTAAATACCTGAGTACTACTGTTTTTTGAGACGTGCTATTCCCTATTCATAACCGCTTAACGCTTTGGTTGTGAAAGATCAATTCAATAAATGGGCGTTCTGTCTAGCGATTTAGTCAGTTCATACGAGCAAGTTATCAAAGTATTCTGAAATAAATTAGAGAGCTGTTTTGCCCATGTACTCATTCCAACTGGTTCCAACTGATCTTGCTGGTTTATCACAGGAATTACTGTGGTATACTCCGATCATTTAAAGGTTTATACATGTGTTGTAGTTTACCCGGGCCGACACGTTGTGTACTGGTCAACATGGTGACCTGAACAACTGTTTCCTCTGTGGTGGCTCGTCATCACTGCGTACTCTGTGTCCAGAACTGAAACCACAAACGTTCGGATTGAGAAGTGAACGTTTTACTCCTGCACTACGCAGTCGCTAATCACCTTGAGTGAATGGTAAAGTTAACTTGGAATGTTATAGTCTAATGAGCCTACCCAATATCACAAGTAATAGGTACGGTACATGGTTGTTGTCACAAATAAAATGATGATGACTATCGTTTCACTGAAAATAATTGTACAATCAGCATTCGGAAACAGGTGACTTCAGCCGTTCAGGTGCAACCCGGAGACACATAGAAGAAGGAGATTTAGACGACGAAGGTGTTATTGGAACTCCTGACCTCGGAGCTGAACATCACCCTTCATTCTCCCTCCAACCCCGCTACTCTCCTAACACAAGGCATGCAACATGTGAGGGGAAAACAAGCTACCAAGACATTCAACCTGTAGCCAAACAGGAGAACCTATATGTAGTGCTTGTGGCCTGCCAAATCCTTTAGGCTATTTAAACATTCTAACCCAAATGGTATTTAAATGAATTGCCTATTTCATCTCAAGTTCCGAATAGTATCATAGTTAACTAAATCGCGTCTATTTCTGTGTTGGAATTGATCGTTTGTTTTACTGCATCAATTCTGTTTTATGATTGGTCCTTATAAGACTTTAATTTTGCAAACCAGGCAATCTGATTGGTTCGAGCTTATATATATATATATATAAATGCCTATGATTCCTTCCCAAAATATGGTTTGTATTCGGTGCACTTAAAAAAATATATCGAGAGCACTTCTTTAAGAACCCACTTTTGACAGTTTCTAACTGATCTTTTACCGATATTTTCTTCAGTGCTTGAAGTGAAAAACAGCATAAATATGAATGATATTAGTCATTGAGTTTAGTTCACAGTACAGAAGGTTACCACTTACCCCCTCAGGCGAACTGGCAAGTGGATCTTCCAGCTGATCTAAAGCGTCAATCAGTACAATGATTGGTTTTTGTACATGATCATACGGAGTGAACTTGTTGCGTTTGACCGCCTGAAAGAAACGTGATCCAATTTGCCTGAGTTGTCGAGAGCGTTCATGGTCAGCCAGACCAGCAGTCAAAGCAGACAACGTACTGGGACAGATTGAGTTGAGATCGTTCTCTAAAAAACAGTAAAAATTAGTATCTAATAAATTTATGACTTCTCGCTTTATCGACGAATTTCAAGGATTATACTGCTGGCGTTCACATTAACATCGTTCAGACGAGTTTGCAAATTGAATGGTAATGGTAGATTTCCGTCGGCTTTACTCAGTCTAGTCTAAGTTTCACTGGATCCTCGGCTAAACCCTGGAACCCCCACAATGAAAACCATCCTCTCGATAACTCGTTCACAAAGAGACAAGTTCTCCAGCCTAAAATAGCAGATATCTGACTCTACTGTGTCGACATTTCAGCGTTGTATGATTCCTTCTTTGTTCTCCCATAAGGATCGAACAAAACACTGAGGGTCGGTCAGATTCATCCATCGATCCACCACACAGGTTAACTGTAAAAGCTAGATGACGTAAGTCCAGCTGAAACACACAAAAACCTATACCATGTCGAGCACCGCCAGTCTTTGGGATGAGCAGTAAATTTCTTATCGTCTTATTATCAGACCAATGAAAAACAAGTACTTCAATCATTCAAAAAACAGATGATCAAACAGTCTGGAATCCCTTTGAGGGATTACAATCTGCACCAGTTGCGGAAATCGTTCAATCGGATCGCAAAAGTGGTCAGATGCAAAATCCAGTGTGAGAAAATAGACTATTGAGATCGAACACATACTCCCATTGTACCTTTGTGTTCAAACAGGATGGATGAAAATCAGTACCCTTCGCATGCGCACGAAGTGAATTCACATGCGCGTGCGTGCACTACCACTTTAAGTGAATGTGCGTACGAGTGTTATACAACCGTGCTTGCGCACATCAGTTGACGCTCTCGTTCGTGAGACAGCCCACTGGAAGTGAACCAGGACCGGGTAACGAGTAACGATCGAAGCATCAATCGCGCTGTGCCGGTCTCAGACCGGTGCTATAGGGAAATTCTGTAATTTTCGTAGAAGTAGTAGTAGTAGTAGTAGTAGTAGTAGTAGTAGTAGTAGTAGTAGTAGTAAAAGTACTGATACGCACGTAACTCGGAACATAACCCACGCAGTAGGAATCATAGGACACGAATCTAGGATCAGCTATCACGGACTGGATTACGGAAGCACTGGACCGCAATAGCACGAGCTCGTAATATCCCACGTGAACCAGAGGCGAGGAAAAGGCCACAAGAACTGTAGCTCGTAATTCGTTTATTGGAAGAAATGAGGGCGATTAAATAATATGTACAAAAGAAGATTATTGGTTATCTAGGCCCCCACCAATCGGATTGCAGTACTGCTTGCATATTCCTGCTTCTGTCTGCACTGTCTTGGATTGGCTGGCATGATCCACCAATGACGTGTATTCAGAAGCCATGCGCGTGTCATTGACGTCAGCATTCAAATTTGATTGATCGTAAATGTTCCGAAAGTGTAACGCACCGCTCCAGGGCAGGTGTCATCACGTAGGTCTGGATCACCACAAATTCCTTAGACGTTGGAACGGCATTGCGCTCAAAGTGAACGCATTATTTTTGTGTTGTTAGCGAAAACACTATGGGTGCAATATGCGATATAAATGATTCGCGTCTTCGGTTTTGGGGTTTAGTTGTTCAAGTCGTTGACAAGTTGCATAAATACGAATCACCACACCTGTCACTTATTATGCCGAATTATAAACGCTGGAAGACTAGCTAACTCGTTTTTGAATTGAGTTGCGTGTGTGTGAAGTTCACAGGAGTTCAACAATTTAGTCGCAGTGAAAAAATATTTTCTCTATGTACTCTTGCAATAATGATAAATAATCTAATGAAATTCCGTATTTCAGATCCGCATTCGGTTGCCAACTAGATCCTCAAAAATGGTGATAATGATGCTGATAATGATTGATCTAGTCGGGTGCAGTACATTCGTCATAGTGTGTATATAACAAACACTTTATGATAACAGATATACGGAACTTTTCGTTCCGGAGAAGAGCTATTCTTAAGACTTCCTTTTAAGGGAACTGATAAATATGAACTATTAAAACTATTAGAAAGGACCGTTACTAGTACTTTTGCTACTGGAGCGCTACGTACACAATTCACAAGCCAACGGATTATCTCCGTAAATATTAATGGTAAATTGCCCATCTCACCTTCACCAATGAACATTCTTGGCTCATAATTGGCATGTCACGCAGGAATCGGTCGATCAAACATGTTTAAGTAAATCAGCGAGATAGCATTGGCATGTCGTTAGCCCACACTAGCAGGTATTGACGTCGGTACTCCACTGTGCCAATTTTTTGCTAACATTTGAACAACATGGGGTTTAAATGCGATGAAGATAGTTGTGATAACCGACAAAGAGCACTGGACAGCTGTTTCGTCCTGTGCCTGATGTTTTTGTGAACAATCGAATGGGCTAATACAAGCTTCATACTCTTAAACATGGGGTTCTTTCCTTAGCCACTACTTCGGGCATGACAAACAGACTTGATCGATACGATTCGTGCATCAATAAAGTGAGGAGCCAACTGAGAAGAGAGATGGCCCGGAAAAAATGGAGTCTTTAGTATGATCAGTAGGTCACTATTGTGGGTAGAAAAGGTATCATTGAAAAGACCAGTGGAGCGAAGAGTGATTATCGATTATCCATTCTCAAGCTTCCTCCAAAGCTCAAGCTCCTCCCAGCCCGATATATTCAATGAATCATGACGTTTGTCGCTACCTTGTGACCGTATATTAATGTGAAAGCTTGAGAATGAATAATAGTAAAGAATTCTTTGCTCTGTTGGTCTTTTCAATGAACATTGGGGATATTTCAAACAAACGATGTCATCAGCACACAAATGGAGTATTACAGGTAGTAGGTTTGTGGTCAGTTAGCCCGTAACCTGCACGGAAGTCCTGACTTGGTGAAAGGCTTCCTATTGGAGTTAACAAATAGTCAACTGTGTCTCCCTTCGTTGCTGTCGGGCCAAATTGAACTGACTGACTATCTCTGAAGACGACACCTGAACAAACATAGACTGGCAATTTTCTTCAACCCTGGCATGAGCTGGTTGACCCGGGAAGGTGTATATGCATTACTGATGAGCGAAACTTAAATTCAGTGCTTTTGAGTGTATGATTGACTGAAAGAACTGAGGAATGTGCGTGAAGGTGAAGTCTGAAGGATGGTCAGTTTTAATCAACCAATCAGCATCACAAACATTACGATCCGATGGTCAAACAGTCTCGCTGGAGGTTGTAGGATTACAAGATGCATAAACTGAGAAAAATTATCCAATCGATTCGCAAAACGGGTCCTAGGGGAACTTAGTTGTTTGAAGATTTTATTGAGAACGAAAAAACATGTGAAACGAATGAGCAATCGCACAGTATTGTTCACCGGTGTCTGAAGTGAAAGGCAGACCACTTCGCATTACAGTTCAACCAGCCTTCCGCAATGGGAACTCGAAGAATTATCCTGGAACTTGGATCTGTATCCAGATAACTGCCACTGAAGCGGAGATTCAACGGGAGCCTCAAGCCTTGAAAGATCATAAGGGGTCTGGATCGGATTTCTTACCGCTGACTCTATTTAGAAAACATGAAAACGTTCTCATAGTAATACTTGCTAGACTGTTTCTGTCATCTGGGAGGAAAAAATTTGTACCTCCTGCACGGAGGGAATCGATTGTTACAGGTGTTTTCAAGAACAGATTCTGTAGTATTTCATCCAACGAAAGAGGCATAAATCTGATTTCAGTAGCACCGAAACTGTTAGCGTCCATCTTACTAAACAGATTGGACCTCATTCCTATGGGATAAATCTGTAAAGAGCATGTCGAGTTCTGTGTAAGCCATGATTGCTTAGATCGAGTCTCCCGCCGCCAGTTTTTGGAATATCACCCAAAAAGCCATGGTGAACTTCAACTCTATGGATCGCTCTTTCATTGGGAACTATTTGCTGATATGTGGAGTATAAGAAATGTGCAGTCTGATCTTAAAAGCATTTTACTGTCAATCCTCGGGAGTGGCTACGGATTTGAATGAAATTTCACCCTCGATTCCGGTATTTCAAAAGCGTTAGTTAACCTAATGATCTCCAGCGTTGAGATGGAGTTGTAGACTTAGAATATGCGAGCGATATTAGCTCAAGTGACAATACATAGGTGATTCAAGACAGTTGATGCTGCTCAGGGTAGTGTCTGCTTTGCATCTTCAAGGTGTACGGCATTGCCGCAACACTGGCAGATGCCTTTACTTTGCTAGGTACTGAAAATAATTAATTGATTGAAAGCGTCACCCACCTCTCGAAAGGTGTATAAAGGATGGCTTTTGTCAGTTCTCATTCTTTCTAACGCCTGTGCGATTGTCAGGACCGTTCAGGAGAAAACCGATGGAACAACTTTACCATAGAAAATCACCCAAGAAACAAAAGCTGTAAGCAGGATGAGCCTCCGGAATCAGATGAATAGTCGGATAGTGCTTGTGCGTAGATCCAAGCGGTCCGGCGTTTCTCATTGGTCGATAATGATGCCCTGTCAGGGGATGTTTGGAAATTCGGTCACTTTCAGAACTGCTCGTCATTGTCGACCAGTCAGTGACACCGAACCGCTCGGCTCTACGGACACACCCTGTCTGACCAGTCATCTGATTCCGGAGGCTCACCCTGTTTACATCTGCCTATGCTTATGCCTGAGAAGGGACGCCTGTAGATCACGCATTCACTCAGTTGATCGAAAGCATTCCGCACACAATTGAGTCACGGGCAGGCCGAAGCCGTTCGAGCAAATAGTAACGTCATCACAAAGGTGCATGGACGTAAGCACTAACTCATCCCAGTCGTGTCTGTCGGACCGGGGTAGGTGTGTCCACCAATGAGGGACACGCGAGCTCACCTTGACATTTATGTCAGCGACAACACGACAGTGTGAACGCCACGCTCGGAATTAAAGCAGAAGCAAGGCTGGATATCAAATGATTTCAGCGAGTGACATTGGATTTCGGTCTCTCTTGGGCTGTGGGAGAGTGGTGTAACACGAAGGTGAGCAAGCCGGTAAGCAGATGGCGCACTATCCATCTGCTTGAGGTGGTTGGGGCATTTCCTCGGATGCCTAAGCACCTTATGCCTTACTGTGCGTTATTTACAGGCCTTTAACCAAACTAAAAAGAAACAGTCAAGTGGGGAGACATATAAGATTGGAGAAACTGTGTCCATATCTTATTTCTCTTCGGACATTTCAGCTCCAGGGCGTTAGATGGTCGTTGGCTGAAGACGCTATAGTGGCAATGAGTCAAAATTACGATTATGAAAGAATTCTAATGTTTGTAAGCCCAAACAAGAAGGGATCAAATATAAAAAGTATGTTAAGCAAGCAAACAATAAATGTTTTGTTATCCCCAAAGATGGTTTCTCAATATTCTGTACTTTACAACCCACGATTGTACACATATATGTTAGGTCATAGCCACTTTATATCCATGGTAAATAAACGTATACGAATAAGGAAATCTAGCACTATTACGATGCTTTTATGTTCTGAAACTTTGTTTGATGTAATATGACAAACCATAGATATCAAACAGGAGCTCAGATAGAGGGGAGTGAATGTTTCTTTCACTTGGTAAAACTAACCTTTGCCTTGCGCTTCCCGAATTCGAAGAATTAGTCGTTCCAGTACTGTCCATACATCCACGGTTTGCCGGATATTGTGATTGGTAAAATGTTCTATGATAATCGGTGAAATAGGGTTTTTGAATCCCGGATCACCTTGGGTTGGCACTGGGAAATCGACAGTTTCCGCTGCTTTTGATTTCATTTTTGTCGTGATGTTTGGCACCCAACTTTCCATCAGATGATGCGTATTCTCATCTCTTTGCTTATCCAACTGTACAGGACTTTTGAACGCGATTGGCTTTTCAAACTTGCTTTCAGGGCATATCCCGTGACTTTTCTTGTACTGATCAAGCCAGTTGATCAGAAAGCATGTTTTTCCGATTCCCGGTTCTCCAGCCAATAAAAATATGCGTTTGTTTACATTCCGATCGGCTGGTTCAACCGCAGTCCTCCTGTTGGGATGCGAAATTTGAATAAGCAATCCAGTTGTGCAGAAATGCTAATTCCAATTAATCAAGCTTTTAAACTTTCATAATCCGACAAATTCTTTGACTTTAAGATTCTAACAAGCTGGGGGCGAACGACTGGTCTAACCGAACACCTCTGTAAACTGCTTTGATTTATCGTAACCACCAAATTTGTGAAGATACAAAATTCTGGGTTTTAAAATATACCCTAAAGTTTATTAGATTTTTGGGCCTCAACATCAATTTCGGACGACTTAATATGATAGGATATGATATGATTTTGAGGTGTTATTTATCAGCATTTGCGGTCACAGCCTGCAATTTTATTTTTGTTCGACTGAAGAATTTTTGTGACAGTAGTTTCTTCACATGAATATCATATACATGCACTTTTTCAATTTAACGGATTCCCACATCGAATCAGAATGTTGAAATTTTAAGTTACGATGTGCCAGCATCAGTTTACTATCCCGGTGGAACCAGGGCATCTCAAATTGATGGTGGGATAACTGAACTTGATACGGGGACAACTTAAATTGAAAACGGTATAGGTACTCGTTGCCGAAGAATTGTGACCTGTCTGGGGAAGATGTAATCACGTGACTTATGCGTCTCATTTTTATGGTCCTGTAATTGTACGCGTCACACTGGCTACTCAACTTTCTCTCACAAGTTCAAAAGTTCATCTGTTTGCGACTCTGTTCTTCCGTTTCTCTTTTTCACGGAACACATTTACAGGCACCATTTTTGTCAAAAAGGTAATTTTTCGTTTTGGTTTTGTGGCTCATACATTTTGGTATATTTATGTATCCGAAATCCGTATAAGTACTTAGCAAAACTTGCATTTAAGCCTGAAAAGGGGCGGTGCAAAATGTTACAATGCATTACGTCAAGCAAAAAACACCGCCAGTATTGAAAATGTAAAAGCTTTTAAGCCTATGGAAAATTTCTCAATTTACTAGCCGGAAAACGAGCGTAAAATGGAACCGTAAAACCATGGTAAACGTTTGTGCGGAAGCGACTGAGTCTGTTTTGAGAGAATGCAAAAAGAAAGAGCTATTCCGTCAAGGTCAATAAAATCATTGTTAGCTACTCTCGGGGAAAGAATCTCACAATTTTACGCAGAGATAAGCTTCTTGATGACGGAGTGTCTCAGTAACAGAGAGGAGAGTATGAGGACGGGAATTGCATTTTTAAGCATCATCATCATCTGTGAATGGATTGCTGAGAAGAGAACAAAAACGTTGATTGTGTACATCGTTGATATTCAGGTATTTGTCACTCCACATTTTGCAATTTCCCCAAGCCAATTCAAATAGTCATACAATTGACTGAATGGCATTCTTAAGTAATACAAACAGTCCCTAGGAGGATCGACAACGTAGTTCTAGTTGAAAAGTTCCGGAGTCATCAAACGTGTACTTGCGATATCCATGGGTCTAAAAAATCAATCAATGACTGATCGAGTGAAAGTCTGTTGGTTACAGTATTACACATGCTACCTTTTATCTGGCAGTTTATCTGGATATAAGAATAGCCTGACAACTATTTCACTTTAACATCAAGAAAGATAATACTGAATGTCGTTTTTGTAATTTCCCTCTTGAACCAGAAAGAGAGTCTGACGCTACCAGGTCCTTATAAGTAAGCGAATTTATTACCGCTTCTTGTTTCGTTAGGTTACTAAAAGGGTTTGTATGCCTCAAAAAATCCTGTTTCAAAGACATTACCTGGTGGAGAAAAGATTAAATCAAATAATGATGTCCTTTACAAAATATCCATATATCCAGACACCTGACATTGTGACAAATAAACCTTTTGAGGCACACATTTGAATCACAGTCAACGATTACACTGAGATTAGAATAGAGAGAAATCATCACGGAAACCTAGATATGTTTACTTGGGAGGAGATTGTGATTTAGGTGAAGAATTCCTGGTATAAAATGATTCCGAGCTGTATGTCGATATTTCACAGGAAAATAAAATGACTATGTAAATAAAAGTAGAATTTTGTAAATGAATATAAGATCACAATATTGCAAGGTTGAAATATCTCTGAAAACAAGCTCTAGTACACTTCTAAAGGGAAACTAACATCGGGTCTGGCCTACTTTTTGAGGAATCATAGCTGCTTGGAATTAGTACTTTTCTCCCAGCCCATACGCATCTTGCCCTAGAGAGTTAACACAATCTGGCATCAAGCCAGAAATCGCATCAATACGCTCGGATTGTTACCAATTAAAACGAGAATAATTCTTTTAAATTAACATTCATCTGATCGCGGGAGCCTCTTGACATTCTTCTTGTGGACATCCTATTTACACTTCAGATCTGTAAGTTTAACACGGGTGTACAAATCACTGTGTATGGCATTCTGAAAGTGGAATTCAACGATCTATTCTCTCGTCATTGAAAGACAATTGGGTAGGCTTACCGGTGGACGTTTGTGGAACGTTGCAGTTTGTCACTCCATTCCAGTTTCCGATACTTTTGAAACAACCAGTCCAAATCGTTCTTCTCCGGATCTGGCTCATCTTCGTAAACGCTCTCACAAAAGTCGTTTAAAATTTTCTCTAACTGAAGCAAATGCGGAGAAGAACGGTACTCATTTCGATGAAACGTCAGATAATCTGTGTTGATATCTACCAAAGCTGAAAGAGAGAAATTATAGTAAAGAGTAGGTGAAGATTGTCAAATTGATGACTGGATATGATTTGAAGGCTGATGTATAATAATAACATGATCTGGCAATTCGGAGCCGGCGCTAAATCCATGCACAATGAACGGTAAAATAAATTCAAGTTTATGTGTGAGAAAGTTGCCCCCAATACGTCTGAAATTCCTTGAGATTACTGGATGAATAACAAACACAAAGAAAAACTGATCTGAAGAGCTTTAAAAGTGAAGAAAATAGGCCGCCATAAATAACTCCGAATTGGGATAAAGTTAACATTTAAAAACGAAGATTGCAACACCAGGAGTGGCAAACAAGGTTACTGTGACGAATATATATATACTACTAAACAACACTTCGGATAGTCAGACCAATTTCTTGATGCAAGTTTTCTCAACAGTCTTTTGCTAAAAATGAGACAAATTCTAACTGCTGAATAAAATAATTGTTGCGTTTGAGTAATGAAAAACATCTTGTGGGGTTCATATGAAGCTAATGATTATTTTTACTTCGTGAAGACATGTATAATCCACAGTACCGCATGGCCGTCTCTAAAGTTTTACTATCTATATGTGTGTGTATCTAGTGGGAGTAGAACCTCTGCGTGTGTGGAACGTTGTGTCCCTATGGGGGCATCCTCCACCTCCTTGATCTCCATCATGTACACAACTCTCACCTATGGCCCCACGAAGCTGAGGCAGGCATCAACAGCTACATCATAGCAGATAGCCCGAAGATGAGCTAAGCTAGNGAAAAGCCTTAGTGAGACGGCGTACGGCATACCGAGCTAGCCGCTTCTGAACGGGCGGACGAAATCTACTACCTGATCCGAATACCATGAAGGAAACCTGCCTAATTGCACGGGATACATGGACCCTTAGGTTGCAGCTGCATCTACCGAATGGCGATTGAGCTTCTACGGAGCCACCGGCAACTATGCACCAACACTTTGCCGCCTTGTAGTTCGCAATTAGTTGTGCAAAGATTTGTCCTCGAGTAACGCTGAAGATGTCCCTCATACCAAATACCAGTGAAACTTCATGATCATGTTACTTATGTTCACACCTGGAATAGCTTTATCCTCTCCAAGGGGCTAACCGCAAAAACGTAACCTAAGATGGGTATACAAAAACCATATTTCCAAAAGAAAATTAAACAGTTTTTTAGAAATTCTGATGCGATTCATAATCACGTTCATGTTATACAATTAACTAAATTTCCTAATACTCAAGTTAATCGGTTTTTCTTTCCTCAGGCAAATATGATTACATATGAGAACACCGGCTAGAAAAATGTTCCCACCGCTTCATTAACTGGCTAAATACAGCACATAAATACCTGGCAGTTTAGGAGGAAAATTTCAGTCCAGAAGGGTTAAAGAGTTTTGAAGAAGATGATGTTATTGTGATAGTTGGTACCAGTTGGATCTGTGTGTGTAGATGGTGAGTGGGAGTTGATGGTTGTGAACAAGTGAGCGTGTGAATGAGTCATCATCATCATCATCATGGTCGTCGTCGTGCAGCGAAATACAGTGGAGCGAACTCAGCTGATCGCTGCCAAACTCGCAGTGCATACAAGCTTAGTGGTAAAATTTAAGGTGGACAGGGATTGGATTGGAGAGAGGGAGAAGGTGAACTTCTATGGTCAACACACGGAATGCGCAATCGAATTCTGCATACATACCGTTTGAAGTATTTTGACCCGATAAGAAATGACAACAAGAACACCACTGCTGTCGGTTCGCTGCAATGTCAATGTCTCCAACCCAACTGTTGTGGAATCTTTTGGACCCCAACCTGGAAGGCGAGAGACATCTACTCTACCTAATGACTCTGTGTATTTCTTCATGCCTCATCTCCACTTCATCTGTTGGCCTCCACGTGATTTCCTCCATCCCGGAGCGGCTACAGCGAATAAATCGCGGTGCGGCAGACGACAGCTGGACGTACGTAATACGTGCCCTAGCCAGCGAAGTTCACTAATCTGAATTCGGTGTGCTAACAGGTTTATTCCTGATAGACTCCCAAACACACGACGGCTTGCTTTCACATTACCAATCCGTTCACTCCATCCAACGTAGGCTAAACTACGTGAACACCGATAATCGAAAACCTCAAGTCGACCGATATCTTCTACTCGTAAATTCAAGATATCACAACCATAAAGCAGAACTGAACGAACGCTAGCACAATGTGCACAACCTTTCAACTTCAGTGAAACGTCGCGTCAACTCCAAAGGTGTTTCAGTCCTGCATATGCTGCTCGAGCTTTGGAAATGCGGGCGGCTATCTCCTTTGCTGCACTACCGTCATTCGTCACGCAGCTACCTAAGTAGGAAAGTAATCCACCGTAACTAAATCCTAACCATTTTGTTTCAGAGCGGGAGTAGGCGACACCCAGTCCTGCAGTAGCACTTTTCACTTTGAAGGTGCAAAGCACATACCGAATGTGGCAACTGCACTTGTTAGTCTATCAAGTGCATTTTGCGCATCCTCCATACATTCGAACAGACAGACGATAATATCGGCGTACTTTAAATCGCAAAGTTTTTCTCCATTTCCCATTTCCCTATTCAATACCTACATTTTGGAAACCCCTAAGTGCGTTCTCCAGTATTTCGTCTGAGACGAAATTGAACAGGAAGGGGGGCACCCTTGAAGAACACTGCTGATGGCGACGAATGGCTTACTAAGTTCATCATAGACCCTTACACGACCAGAGGTATGCGAGTACAGTGACCTCAGTAAGTTAACGTACTTCGGGGGTAGTCCTTTTCGAAGAAGGGAGCCCCTCAGAGCTTCGCGGTCAACTGAGTCGAAGGCTTCTTTCAGGTCAAGGAACACTGCGATCGTTGGTCGACGGTGGGTGTGACACAACTCAAGGACCTGGCGCAACGTAAAAATTTGATCATTACATCCACATCCGGGCCGGAATCCGGCTTGGTGTTCACGTTTATGTTAATCTCTCTTAAAGGGGTAAGACATCGAAGTATGACCGACGTTATCACTTTGGTGACGATCCAGATCAAACTTATCCTGCGGTGGTTTTCGCAATCGTTGCGTGATCCTTTCTTGAAAATGGGAACGATCAGTGATTCTCCCCAAGATGAAGGAATGCGCCTTTGCGTCCAAATGTTGCGTAGTAAGGTAGTAATACAACTTACGAGGTTATCACCTCCCATCTTGAAAAGAGTTGGAGGGAGCTCATCTGGTCCTCCTGCCTTTCCTCGCTTCAGAGCCTGAAATCAAGACCGAACACCTGCTTCTGTTGCAGGATCGCACGACACGGCCCAAGGAGATTCGGTTGCAGATGACGCAACCTGGTTAGCGGCAGGCCAGGTGAACTGTTCGCTGAAGTATTCAGCCCAGCGATCAAGTCGTTCATCCCTATTGTGAATAGCTTGTTCCATCTTATTGTAGACTGTTTCACTAGCTGGAGTTCGCCGACCTCCGGTATTGCGTATCAGTTGGAACAGTCTTTGACCATTCCCTGATGCAGCTGCTACTTTATTTCACTAGCTATTGTCGCCCACTAGTTCTCACGGTCCTTCTTGAGGCTCTTCGTAAGCTGACGTAAATGCCATCTAACTCTGTTGTGATCCTAGCAGGTCGGGACTTGTCGTTTCTTTACCATCAGAGCTACTGATACTTGAGATATCCAATGAATCGGACAGCCTTGAGGCTCAGACCCACAAACAACATTCGCCGCGGAATGCATTGCTCGCCTAATCTGATTCTACTTCTCATCTACATCATCAGGTTGAGGCGCGCTTAGCTCACACACTAGCTCTGATTCACTGAGCACACAAACTGCTGGAACATATAGTTGACGATGAGCTATTCGAGTTTGCTGAATTCGTCGCCATTCAATCAGTCGAAGAGTGAACTTTATCAAAACTAATGCGTGGTCAGACTCAATGAAGGTGTTCCAATAGGATCTGCAATTTTGCACTGAGTCACGCTAACGGTAGCCTACTGCTATGTGGTCTATTTGGGTTAGCGTACCAGTTGAATTAGAGCGCCACTTTGCGGTCCGTTGAGAACTGTATCGAAAGTTGGTGTTAGATAGGAATAGATGGTGATCCGCGCAGAAATGAAGGAGTCGATCACCGTTATCTGTTCGTTGGCAGGGCAGATCACAACCACCGCCTAGGCAAGCTTCTGACGCGCTCAGTTTTTCAACTTGTGCGTTTAAGTTACCTGTAAGTACAACTACGTCGGAGCTTCAACTCAGCCGCATAAGACAGCGTCCTTTTGGGTATCAGAATTGCAAGTGGTCGGTGCGTACGCCGGAAGATGATTGAACCCTGGAGACGCACTGCACATAAATGACTGTTGACGTGGATCCAATCAATAAGAGAGGACTCCGCCCTGTTCGTGAGTGCAATACCTACCACGCGCTGACCTACTGAACGAGCTTCATCGTCGCTTGATGTGCGAAAAACATATCTTAACGACAAATTTGGAGCACTCAAGTGGCTTATAGTAGTAGGATACTGGATACGAGTCTCCGACACGCCGCAACTATCGATCCCCAAGGGTTTCATTGTACGCGCCAGACAAGCTTGTTGACCTACCTGCATCAGGGTCCTCACGTTGAAGGCCTTCAGATTCAGTGATTGACGAGGCTTTAGAATCTGCAATTCGCTTCGTAGTACATTACTTACAGTGCTATTTGGCAACGACCTTTGGCAAGCGACATCCAAGTTAGAAGAGGGGCTATTAAAGGTTGGAAGGAGAGGAAAACGGAGAGGGCTGGGTTTTGAAGACAAAGAACTAAACAAAGGCTGGGAACTCGTCGTGATGGGTGTGAATGAGTGATAATTTGCGGTTGGAGATTGCGTCACCAGGTGAATGTCCATGGTATGACCAGTGTTTTTACAAACCGTTCTTGGGCTTACAAGAAAGGAGAGGGAGTGTGAAGACGGATTGTAATCACCTCAATTGTTGATAGAATTCGAAACGATGCGAGAATT